CATGAACTGCAGCACGCCAGGCCTCCCTGTCCATCACCAGCTCCCAGAGTTTACTCCAACTCATGTCCATTGAGTCGGTGATACCATCCAGCCAACTCATCCTCTGTTGTCCCCTTCTCCTCTTGCCTTCAATCTTTCCAAGCATCAGGGTCTTTTCAAATGAGTCAGCTCTTTGCAGCAGGTGGCCAACGTATTGGAGTTTNACAGCCTTGACGTACTCCTTTTCCTATTTGGAACCAGTCTGTTGTTCCATGTCCACTTCTAACTGTTGATTCTTGACCTGCATACAGATTTCTCAAGAGGCAGGTCAGGTGGTCTGGTAATCCCATCTCTTTAAGAATTTTCCATAGTTTGTTGTGATCCTCACAAAGGCTTTGGCATAGTCAATTAAGCAGATGTTCACTGTTTCCATTAATTAATAAATATTTTTTGCTAGGGTGGGGCTTGATCACTATATATCTTAGGCCTGATCTGAAATTTCAGAAAGTAATTTGCTTCCAGTAGATAACTAGCTACTTCATACTATTTCATTCAGCTAAGCAAGCATATTTGTTGTTGTTTAGTCACTCAGTCATGTATGACTCTTTTATGACCCCGTGAACTGTAGCCCACCAGGCTCCTCTGTCCATGGGATTCTCCAGGCAAGAATACTGGAGTGGGTTGCCATTTCCTTCTCCAGGGGATCTTCCCCACCAAGGGATCAAACATGTATCGGCAGGCAGGTTCCTTACCACTGAGACATTCAGGGAAGCCCAACCAAGCACATATTGGGTTTTTTGTTTTTTAAATATTTGTAAGACACAGTATTAGTCCTGGACCATCAGAAATTAACAGATACTCAGTTCCTGTTTTCAAGGAGCTGGTGATTTCAATCCACCTGACAGATGAGACCTCATATGTTCTTTGAGATCTCTGAAAGAAAAGACCTCACCACACTATTGGCTACTGTCACACTTAGTTCTCTGAGCTATTTGTGTGTGTGTGTGTGTGTGTGTGTGTGCTTCCAATTCCTTGAGAATCAATGCATCTCCATTTCCTCTTATTCCAGGTGTCAGAAGAGAGAAAGAACATTTGGTCACCATTTGGTCACCATTCTTTCCATAATAAGCCTTCATTCCCTGAGAGTTATTGAGTCATACCTCTGTTTTCTCTTTCTAGATTAAATAATTCCAGTCCCTTTAACCTTTTCTCAGAGGTCCTATTTGCCAGCCTTCAGCTTAATCATTTTCACTATTCCCCTCTGGAGTCTCTCCAACTTTTCTGCATTAAAATTTGTTGCTTTGCCATTGAGATGCCTCTAAGAGTCTTATTCTTTCACCTAAACCAAGACAAAAGAAAAGCAGCGCCCCGCCCCGCCCCCAGTCAAAGTAAGAGAATATATGGAAACAGATTTCTCCTTTGAAGTTCTCATGTAAGATACTCACATGCTGAAAGCAAATTAGCACTTACTGTCACCAACATTAAGGAGAAAGGGCCAAGACCAGAAGAATTTCTAAATAGTGCCAACCATTGTGCTTGGCAATTACCTAAATTACTTTTAAGCAGATAAGGCTATTAACAGCAAACTTGAAGTTTGCTCTAGTTACATCTGAAGTTCTCAGACAGGTGCTACTAAAATCACTGTTAATGAGATCAAACAGGAGTTTTTGATTCTGTATAATACCCCTGGCTGTTGAGCAGACCGTCCAGAGATGACTATGTTATTTATAGGCAGCAACTCTGGTGAATCCTGGCAAACTGCGTAAGAGTCATCTTTGTATTCTGTCAATCAATAGCAATTAGTATTTCCTGAGCTGAGTCACAGATATAGAGAACAGACTCATGGACATGGTGGGGGGTAGGAAGGAGAGGGTGGAATATATGGAGAGTAACATGGAAACATATATTATCATATGTAAAATAGATAGCCAATGGGAATATGCTGTGTGACTCAAGGAATTCAAACTGGGGCTCTGTAACCACCTAGAGGGGTGGGGTCGAGAGGGAGAGAGGAGGGAAGTCCAAGAGGGAGGGGACATATGTTTGCCTATGGTTGGTTCATGTTGATGTCTGCCAGAAACCAACACAATACTGTAAAGCAGTTATCCCTCAATTAAAAATAAATAAAAGATACATTTCCTGAGCTGAGAATGCAGGAATTCTACATGACTTTTAAGAAATAATGTATGTGGTCGGATTAAATATCTAATCATTGTATGGTACCAATACATGCTGAAAGAGGGCAGACATGAAAACCAGAGTTCTAAGCAAGATGACTTACCAGAAATCTTTTTCCCAAGATCCCTCCCTGCCTTTTTCTCTTGAGATGTACCTGCCCGCTGTGAGCCAGCAGTGTGACTCTATGCATACACACACACACACACACACACACACACACACACACACACACACACACAGAGTTGCGATTCTACTGACAGATTTCCAAATCCTTTCATGAAGTTGGGAAAACTCTTTCTGGATAATATTCTATCTTTCCACCTGTTCTGTTTCAGGGACATCTTTGTTTTGGAACCCCTGTTTAGACAAAAAATATTTTCCTATCTGGAAAAGTTAAAAGTATACAATTAGGGTGAAAACAGTTGGTTAGATGTCAGGAAGTGGAGAGAGAGAAACTACTGGCTCCTCTGAGCTGGTTCTGGGAAACCAGGAATTAGTGTTCATCTAGTTTATCTTCTGAAGCTTGTGTGGCTATGGTGAGACCCTATCTAGCCAAGAACCAGCAAGACTGAGAGAGGTCTATCACTAGCAGCCATGGGAAAACCAGCTACATACTAAAAGTATCTCTTTCCCGAGTTCTCTAATAACAGAACAAATTCATGATTTGGTGTGGAATTTTTCCAGGGAGGTGAAGTCCCAAAGACAGTTCAGTCTATCAAACCATAGCCTAAATCCTTAAAACTGATACAGTGACCCTTAAGTAATCAGCAATTAAGATGGCCAAGAGCTTTTAACCACAGTATCTTAACAAGGAGCACGGTCCTGGGTGAGGGCACAGAGTTTGCTAAGCCATTTAATTATCGGTGTGGATCCATTATATCCCTCCTACTCTCACTGGCTCTTCACACCCAGGCATACACCCCAAGAGTCTGTCCACCTGAGTGAAGGAAAAGCGTAGGTATAAAAACACCATCGGTGAGCATATGCATAATTGAGCTCTAGGAGCTCTGAAACCAGGGCGATTAAACCTGTAGCATATTAAATAGTTCTGGGTGAGAAATAATGTAACAACCAGTATTTTAGAAAGGCAAGTTTCCAATTATGAAGTGAACTACAAATCAGCCCTGATTTCATTTACTTCATAGTAAAGATCATCTCATAAATTCTTATCAAGTGGTAAGAAAGTGAAAGGAGGGCGCTGATGTTGATGTGTGTCGCCATGTAACTCTCTAGTGGTTATGGCAAGTGGCCAGGAATGTTGGGTGAATAAATCACTAGTAGACACAACTCAGTTCTTTCTCTCTTTATTTAAATATGTACGTCAGAGGTTTACACCAAATCATTTCTGCTGCTGCTGCTGCTGCTAAGTCGCTTCAGTCATGTCCGACTCTGTGCAACCCCATAGACAGCAGCCCACCAGGCTCCCCCATCCCTGGGATTCTCCAGGCAAGAACACTGCACTGGGTTGTCATTTCCTTCTCCAATGCATGCAAGTGAAAAATGAAAGTGAAGTTGTTCAGTCGTGTCCAAACCATTTCTAGGAAAGAGCAATTTGCACTACCCCACTATAATTCATTGCACTTTGGGAAGCAATCTTTATCCCATTTGAATGTGAGAAATAATATCACCCATACTGAACACTGGCATTTTTACATTGGGAGGGTTAAAAGAAAATAAACATTAGAAAGATTCAGTCGTGTCCGACTCTGTGAGACCCCATAGACAGCAGCCCACCAGGCTCCCCCATCCCTGGGATTCTCCAGGCAAGAACACTGCAGCGGGTTGTCATTTCCTTCTCCAATGGATGCAAGTGAAAAGTGAAAGTGAAGTCGTTCAGTCGTGTCCGAACCATTTCTAGGAAAGAGCAATTTGCACTACCCCACTATAATTCATTGCACTTTGGGAAGCAGTCTTTATCCCATTTGAATGTGAGAAATAATATCACCCATACTGAACACTGGCATTTTTACATTGGGAGGGTTAAAAGAAAATAAACATTAGAAAGAGTGAAAATAAAAGGAAAGTAAAGGAAAGGGGAGAACGACAAGAAGTATAAAAAAGAAAAAAAGATTTGTGAATTTTAAACACATTTATCTATAACAAGCAAGTGACATTTTGAGCAAAGCTTTTCTGAATCTGAAAAAGAAAATTCCTGCTGACTTTAGAAAGCCAACCCTTTGAGTCATTCTTTAAAAAAAAAAAGATAGCCAGCAGATTAGAACTCCTTTTATAAAAATCAAATGAACCTCTAACAAAGTTTGTTTGGGACATGAATAAATCATCTGGTCATGAATTATTCATTATTATCAAGAAACAAGCTGGAGATTCCAGGAACTGGGTTTGGGGAGGTGCTGAAATCAGGGAGTGAGCAAGTTCACTGTCTCATACCTACTATGGGAAGGGAAAGGGCAGACCATGGGCACAGACAGTGATGCTGACCATTCTAGACCCTCCTTCAGGTTTCAGGGGACACTCTGGCAGTCTTAACACTCAGAGAATAAAGCAAATAGACTTTAATCCATATCTTACTTTAGAAAAATGCATGTACTCGGTAATAGATATTAAGACTTCTTTTCTTTTTTGAGCATTGGTACTTTTTTTTTTTTGAATGCATGACATACATGTGGAATAAGAGCTCTGTGCAAAAGACAGCAGAAGTTAAAAGCTTGCATTTAAGGGAGATGACTAGAAAATTCCTTAAAGATACACTGGTAAGAGTAGTCTGACCTACTCATTCATGGCTTTGGGGATTGGATTTTTTTTTTCAACTGGGGTGGGAGAGGGAAGAAAAAAAGGGAGTCTCTCAGATCTAATCAACTAATCAGCTTATATATGTGTTTCAGGTCCAAACTGCTTTGCAGGAACGACAATCATTCCGGCTGGCATTGAAGTGAAAGTGGATGAATGTAACATCTGTCACTGTCACAACGGGGACTGGTGGAAGCCTGCTCAGTGTTCAAAACGTGAATGCCAAGGCAAGCAAACTGTGTAGAGCCGCATCCCACCCGACGACGGGCTCTTAGGAGACGAGGCTGTGGCTTCCACATGGCACATGGTCAAAACAAGACAAAACAAACAAACTCTTGCCAGCTACAACAGGGTCACCAGCAAAACCTTTTAGGGTTGACAAAAGTGAATATTTTACTAAGAGGAAATTTCTCTCTTTCTTTCTTGCTATACAAAATATACATAGTATACAGCTATTGAAACTGCTTTTGTAATTATCCTTGCTTGATGGTGACTTGACCACTGGATTTCTGGAGCAAAAAGAAAGAAATAGCCTTGAACAGGCTTCTTCTCTGGTGACACCTCTGGCCTGCCAGCTCACCATCTACCGACTTACTCCACTTTTAGTCTTCTGTAAACACAGCATTTTTCTCTTGCGGTAATTCCTGTTTTCCTCTTTAGAGTCTAAGGGGCCAGATTTAACTGCACAGGAAGGTTTTGAGTTGTGTCAAACTAGCTTCCAAAAAGCAGTGTCAGGGTAAGGACCCTTCCTGATTAGGAAGATGCAAAACATTCAGCCAATCTCTCCCCTTGAGTGAATCTTGCCCTGCATGGGAGAAGAGAGAGGTGAGCCGAGAGGGTCCACTGCTGGGCTGGGTGGGGAAGTGGTGCTCCATGCATTATGCGAGGGCTCACAATTTGATTCTTACAAACCACACATTTCATTCTCCAACCTTGAAACTGCCAATCAAAAACTAATATGTGATGAATACCATGAGCTTGACTAAAGAATCCAAAGGGAGACAGGTATCCAAAACTGCGACATTAAACACTAGACTTTCTCATGATGTTGAATTTAAGTTCAGCTTATAACAAAACACACTCTAAACCCACTCTGTCACCTGGCATGATAAATACCAGAACCAGGGTGAGCAGCCCCACTGTGAATCTGAAGCCTTCTGAACACTCCTAGCTCTTGAGTTCAGATCTGGCTGAAATCCAGTACTTGCACACAGGCAGTTTTTCTGGTTCGGGACTATGTTTGCCATGTTATACTAATGACCACTCAGCCCTCTGGCTAAAACACAGATTCAGGACACTCTTTCCACCTTAAGTGCTGATTTAAATTAAAGATTAGGGTAGAGTGGGTCTTGCACAATACAATTCCATTTGTTGAACATTTTTTTAAATGTATATATTAGATACTAAGCAATTAAAGTGAACCTTTGAAGAGTCTCAAGGTTGCCCTGGTAATGCTGCTAGTATAGTAACAGGAAAATAAAATAAAAATAAAACACACAGGGTATCTGATGCCACCTCGATTCAAGTGCAAACGTAGCAGTTCTGAAACCACACAGCATAGCTAGTTGCTTACTTCACTCTCCTGTGTTGAAAACCCTGGCACAGATCTGGTAGGGTCCTTGAGGAACCTTGAAGGTTATCTTCATTATTGATGTTCTGTCCTCTTCTGCTCCCACCCCACCTGGGCTTGGCCATAACTCCAGTGGAGTGTTGCCTTCCTGGGCAAGGTTTCTCGACCTCAGCACTATTGACATTTGGGGCCAGACAATTAATTGTCACTGGGAGCTGTCCTGTGCATTTTTTACGATGTTGAGCAGCATTCTTGTCTTCTATCCACTCAATGCCAAGAGCAGCGCCCCTAACTGTCATAACAGAATGTCTCTGAACATTGCCAAATGTCCCCAAGGTGTATGGGAGGGGGCAGAATTTCACCTGGTTGAGAACCAGTGGTCTAGAATAATCAGTAAAGAGTGGTTTTCTGCCAGGCAAGATCTGGCTGCAGCTGTGGCTCTGGGGAGCCTCCGAGCCCTTGGGGACAGGCACGATCAGAAGCCCTGAGATCCAAAGGGAGTGGGGCCCCACCGCCACACGGTCACAGGTCTGCCCTCCAGGCATACATCTCTTTAGTCTCACCCACTGGGTTTTCCTTTAAAATTGCCAAGCCTCTCCTCCCTGGAAGCACCTCCCATCATCAAGAAAGAACTGTCATTTCCAGAATTAATGTGTTGACAAGTCGGACCTGACACTTCTCACACACACTGCACTTGTGTTATGATACAAATAGCCAGGCCAGCATCATAGGAGGGAGCGCATCAAGCCACCTTTCCTTAGAACACCAATTTGCACCAAGGCTGGTGCTTTTCCATTACCACCCTGGAAACATCATATAGACAGTCATGAATCATTCATGAACAATTCTGCATGATTTATTCCCACACTCCAGAGTAAAGGCAGTACTCCACACTTCAGTGTATGTCTAGACAGAGATGTATTATAGAGCTTTCTTTGCCCTGAGGTTGCCTATTGCCAGCTTCAAAAATCTACACTCTTGGAAAGAAATAATAATAATAAATGAGAGGAATAAGGTTTGAAACCCAGAAACATCATTAATAGAGCCATGTAGCATAGTACCCCATCTATTATTAAGGAGTTACTCTGTCCTTTTTAGAAAACAGAAGGAAAGAGCAACAGGGAAGCCAGGGTACAGGCGTTTTGCATCAAAGTCTTGGCTCAGTGATAGTCACTGCAAGAATTTTCAAGAATAGAGTATAAAGAAACCCTCTTCAGAGAGCTTGCAGAATGAAGGCTGCTCAGCTGCCTGTTACCAGCCAGAGAGAGGGATTATTTTGCTGTTCTTGGGTTTTTCTTTTCTCACAGTGTCTCACTACAAGATGTTTCCTTTAAGACTTTGTAACACTGACATTTCCACTCCCTCCCCCTCCTTTAGGGAGAGATGAACCTATACTGTGACAGAATTTCTCATCTACTGATAAACACTTTACGACTTCCTTCTACCCAGGTCATTGAGAAATTCTCTCCAAACTCTGAACAGCAGATTTCTGGCTTCATCTGTTGCTTCCTAATTTTCTTTTTCTTTTTGAAAGCTTTGTTTGCAGCCGCCCTGTCACCTCGATTCTCCTACATCTCCTCTGCCTTTGGTTCTAGGCTTTAACTAGAGCTCTGTTTAAATAAGGGATCAACAACCTGTTTGTCAGCTGATGCCTGTTAAAAAATGATTCAGTTTCTAAAATCTTTGAAAAATGGCGTGCCTGAAAACTAGTGAGAAAAAAAAAAAACTAAACACTCAACTGTAAAAAGGGGATTCTAGCAACAATATTTGATGTGTAAAATAATATATTATTAAAAAACTATTTTGTTAAATATAAAGTGTGTTAACCAGCAAACATCGTTCGTGGTATATTTTCCTTCCTAAGTTTCTCCCTTCTCCCTACTCTCATCATTTAAAGACTGATTCTCAGTGACGTCTGTCATTTGAGAATACATGTGTCATTAGAGCTATATTCAATTAGAATTAAACATCAGCTTTAGCATTTGTCTGTATACATTTTCATTTTTCATAACATAAGCCTGACTTAGGGATCAGAGAGAACTCAAACCAGCAGTGAGAGGGTAAGTGATTGGAATATATTTCCCCTGTTCATATCCAAGCACGTTACTAANCATTTGTCTGTATACATTTTCATTTTTCATAACATAAGCCTGACTTAGGGATCAGAGAGAACTCAAACCAGCAGTGAGAGGGTAAGTGATTGGAAAATATTTCCGCTGTTCATATCCAAGCACGTTACTAATGATAATCTATAATTATTGAATGCTTGCTCTGTGGCAGGCCCTGCACTGTGCACTGACCCTTTTCCATTCAATCCATATAGCACAGCTATGACGGAGGCACTCTTATTATCCCTGCTTTGCTATTGAGGAAACCAGAATACAAGGAGATTAAATGCTCTACTTAAGGTCACAGGACCCTAAGTGGCAAAGCAGAAATTTTTTTACTGTGAAAGTTTTCAATCATATGCAAAAAAAAAAAAAAATGAAAACATTGTATAAAGAACCTCCATTTACCCATTGCTCAGATGCAACATTTCTCAAGATTTTGCATCATGCTTTATCTATATTTTTCCCCAGGAGTATCTTAAAGCAAGTATCAGACATATCATTTCATCCCTACATCCCTTCCTCAAAGAGAGTAATCATCTCTTTGAAAAAGGGAGAAGCTTTTTTTTTAACCAAACATAACAAAGATTAGTATTATTATCACTATCTAATTTACATTAAAATTTCTTAGATTTTTCTAAAATACAGGGGAATGTGGGGTGTTTGCATGATCAAAACCAAGTCATCTATAACACTGCATTTGGTTTTTTTGTCTCCTAAATCCACAGAAGGGATGTGAACTCTGCCAACTGACATACTCCTGGGTCTGTTGTTGTTATTAGAGAGTTTGCTTTGGAGAAAATTACTTTTTTAATGTCCATGTTAAACTCCCTCCTACACGCCGAGCAGAGCAAGCAGCAAGCAAAAGCCTTTCTACAATTGATCTCCACGGGGCAACAAAGAGCCCCAAATCAAGAATTACTGCTGATGTCCAGCATGCAGAGGACACTGCCTTTTATATATGTGCAGGCTTTCCTTGAGGAGTAACAGCAAACTGTTATTTTCCTTCTCCTTGATTCAAACATAGTGCCTAACACAAAGTAAAGCAGAACAATACTCCATAAATTGCCATCATCTACTGCATTGTTGGAGGAAGAAAGAAAACAGCCAAACCATTAGAAAGCAGCAGCATGGTGTCCCCCTAATACATGGGTACACACCTGAGCACCACCACCATGTTCTTAAAACATGACGAGACGATCACACTTTTCAGTTTCCCATCTGTTCAACTTGCTGCTCCCTATGTCCCTTGCAAAGAATTGTTTACAGTTCATTTCTGATTCAGGATTCATGGAAGGGCACTTCAAAGCATAAGAGAGAAAGCTATGAACTGTGACAGAGTCCTGGGTTTGTTATTTCAGGGTTTATGTTGGGCACATTATTTAAAAGAAAAGAAGAAGAAGAAAGGTTGCTATTGTTCAGTCGCTCAGTTGTGACCAACTCTTCATGACCCCATGGACTGCAGCAGGCCAGGTTTCCCTGACCTTCACTATCTCCTGGAGTTTGCTCAAACTCATGTCCATTGAGTTGATGATGCCATCCAATCATCTCATCCTTTGTCACCCCTTTCTCTTCTGGCCTTCAATCTTCCCCAGGAACAGGGTTTTTTCCAATGAGTCGGCTCTTCACATCAGGTGGCCAAAGTATTGGAGCTTCACCATCAATCCTTCCAATGAATGTTCAGGGTTCATCTCCTTTAGGATTGACTGATCTCTTTGCTGCCCAAGGGACTTCTCAAGAGTCCTCCAGCACTACAATTCAAAAGCATCAATTCTCCAGTTCTCAGCCTTCTTTTTGGTCCAACTCTCACATCTGTATCCGACTACTGGAAAAACCATAGCTTTGAATATATGGACCTTTGTCAGCAAAGTGATATCTCTGCTTTTAATAACTTCATGATTTTGAAAAACAAATGCTATCTCTGAATTGGAAACCTCACCTATCGTTTACACCCCAATTTATACCTCAAATGTGGAGGGCAATATTATCAGTGAGGCTCCAACTGAACTAACTGTCTGATGTGGATATCTCATTCTCCCTGATCAACCTTATACACCCAGAAGGCATATTTTTGAGGAGCTAGTTCCTTAGTGCCTCTCAGAGTAAGAGTTAAATACACTGATTTAATTTTAAGGACTCTAAATTTGTTTTATATGCCAAAAATTTTTGGTTGTGGTGATGACTTAACAGTTTTCTCTTTAAATCTGAAAATTTTTTAACTTATAGTTCTTTGAAGCCCAAACTCCCAGTTTAACCAAAATCGCAGTG